TCTTGCCCAGGCTGGAGTGCAGTGGCATGAACACAACTCACTGAAACCTTGAATTCTTGGGCTCAAGCAATCTTCCTGCCTCAGAGATAGGGCTACAGGTGCGCGCCACCAGGCCTCGCTATTTTATTTTTTGAGAGACAAGGTCTTGCTATGTTGCCCAGGCTGGTTTCAAACTCCTGGGCTCAAGTGATCCTCCTGCTTCAGCCTCCTAAAACATTGGGATTATAGGCATGAGCCACTGCACCTGGCCTTAGTTGTCTTTACATCCTTTCCTTCATCCCTATATCCAGTCATTTCCAAATCTTGCTAACTCCTCCTCTGAAATGTCTCTGACATCTGCCTCTTCTTAGTATTTCTCTATTAGTCTGGTCTAGACCCTTATCAAAATGCATGCTTGGATTATTGCAGTTGGATAATTATGGATAATTAGTCTGGTCCAGACCCCTTAGTCTGGTCTAGATTCTTATCAATTCATGCTTGCGTTATTGCCCCTTCACAGGTATCCTTGCCTGTTATTCCACTTTTCTTTTTTTTCTTTTGAGACCAAGTCTCACTCTGTCGCCCAGGTTGGAGTGTGGTGGTGTGATCTCAGCTCACTTCAAGCTCTGCCTCCCAGGTTCAAGTGATTCTCCTGCCTCAGCCTCCCACGTAGCTGGGATTACAGGCGCCCATCTAATTTTTGTATTTTTAGTAGAGGCAGAGTTCCACCACATTGGCCAGGCTGGTCTTGAACTCCTGACCTCAAATGATCCGCCCACCTCAGCCTCCCAAAGTGCTGGGATTACAGGCATGAGTCACTGTGTCCTGGTATTATTCCTCTTTTCTTTATTTGAGACAGGTTATCCATCTGTTGCCCAGGCTATAGTGCAGTGGTATGATCACGGCTCACTGCAGCCTTGAACTCTTGGGCTCAAGGGATTCTCCCACCTTGGCCTCCCAAGTAGCTGGGATTACAGGCATGAGCCACTGTGGCCAGGCTATTCCTCTTTCTCTTTTCTTTTTCTTTTTCTTTTTTTTTTTTTGAGATGGAGTCTTGCTCTACTGCCCAGGTTAGAGCACGGTGGCGTACTTTTGGCTCACTGCAACCTCCACCTCCTGAGTTCAAGCAGTTCTCCTGTATGAGCCTCCTGAGTAGCTGGGATTACAGGTGTGCACCACCACGCCCGG